GTCCCAGGAGATAATAGCGGAGGGTGAGGACGGCCCATCTGATCGCCAGACATTCCTTCTCAATGGTGCTGTACATCGTCTCCTTCTTTGAGAGCTTCCGACTGATGTACAGCACCGGCCATTCCTCCCCCTCTATCTCCTGGGACAGGACCGCTCCCAGCCCCCTGTCCGACGTGTCAATCTGCAATAAAAAGGGGAGAGAGAAGTCAGGGGAGTGAAGGAGCGGCCCGCCACACAGAGCAGCCTTTACCTGGGTGAAAGCCTGCTGGCACTGCTCCGTCCACCGGACCGGGTTTGGTGCTTCCTTTTTAGTGAGGTCAGTCAGCGGCCTGGTGAGGTCCGAATACTTAGGTACAAACCTTCTATAATATCCCGCCAGCCCCAGGAACTGCCTCACCTCCTTTTTGGTCTTGGGTCTCGGACAGGTCGCAACTGCTGCCGTCTTATCAATTTGGGGACGCACCTGTCCGTGACCCAAGTGGAAGCCCAGATACCTTACCTCCACACGCCCAACCGCACACTTTTTCGGGTTGGCCGTTAGCCCGGCCTCTCTCAGCGATCTCAGGACTGCCCGCAGATGCTGCATATGCCGCTAAATAATGCCCAAGAGTTCGTAATGTTCGCGGAGAGTCCGTGACATAAACGCCGTGCCTTGATCAGTGAGAAATGAGAAAAATACAATAAGAATAATTTTTGAGTATTAAAAAGAAATAAGAAAAAAAATAATTAACTATGTATGCCAAGTACATCCTGTGATTGCTAGACATACAGCATTCACACTGATAGCTGCTCATACAGTCAGTAATCACATGCATGGCCGGTCATACAGATGGTAATTATACCATCTGTATAATTACCATCTGTACTGTGAAATTAAGTGTCCCCAACTAAGCAAGCCAGACCCGACAGCAGAAACTCCATCAGTGACAGAATTGGAGAAAAAAACCTTGGGAGAAACCAGGCTCAGTCGGGGGGCCAGTTCTCCTCTGGCCAGACGAAACCAGCATTTCAATTCAAGGCTGCAGCAAAGTCAGATTGTGCAGAGGACTCATCTGGTTCCCATGGTCTTGTTCTAGGCTGTCTAGGAGACAAGGTCTTCACTGGGGATCTGTCTCTGGGGCTCATCTAGTTGTCCTGATCTCCACTGACATTCAGGGCTGTAGAGGTCCTCTCTAGGTGCTGATCCACCTGATCTGGTCTGATCTGATCTGGATACAGACTGGATCTGGGTGGCTACGGTGACCTTGGAATAAGAACAAAACAGACTAATATTAGCATAGATGTCATTCCTCTTATAATGCAATGAGTACATCGGGTGTTATTGGAAGTGTTCCTGGTTCCGGTTGACCTAATTAATGCAGCCTAACAATCCTTTAATGGATTTGAATAATATAATGTTTTAGTGTGTTATGTGTTTTGATATTCTAGGTATTATCAAATGGCCAGAGTTTTGAGAACGCAATGGACATGAAGGACTATATAGTGTGATAAGAGCTCGCTCAAGTATTGGAGAGTAGTAATTAAGTAATTAGCAAGATTTTGAAATGTATATGATATTTAATAGGGAGCCAGTGCAGTGTTGACAGAACTGGGCTAATATGGTCATACTTGCTGGTTCTAGTAAGAACTCTAGCTGCTGCATTTTGGACCAGCTGGAGATTGTTTATTAAGTGTGCAGAGCAACCACTTAATAAAGCATTACAATAATCTAACCTTGAGGTCATGAACACATGAATTAACGTTTCTGCATTTGACATTGAGAGCATAGGTCTTAATTTAGATATATTTTTGAGATGGAAAAATGCGGTTTTACAAATTTCGAAGCTTTTGAAGGAAAGGTTGCTATCAAATAGGTTCACCTAGGTTCCTAACTGTTGATGAATTGAATGAATTGACAGAGCAGCCATTAAGTGTTAGAAAGTATTCTAGGTTATTACATGCGGAGGTTTTTGGCCCAATAATTAACACCACTGTTTTTTCAGAATTTAGCAGTAGAAATCAAAAGATTTCAAAATATCAAAATGTGTTATGTGTAAGCCAGGTTAAAGAGATGGGTCTTTAATCTAGATTTAAACTGACAGAGTGTGTCTGCCTAACTGTGTCTGATTAACATTTCTGCATTTGACATTGAGAGCATAGGTCTTAATTTAGATATATTTTTGAGATGGAAAAATGCGGTTTTACAAATTTCGAAGCTTTTGAAGGAAAGGTTGCTATCAAATAGGTTCACCTAGGTTCCTAACTGTTGATGAATTGAATGAATTGACAGAGCAGCCATTAAGTGTTAGAAAGTATTCTAGGTTATTACATGCGGAGGTTTTTGGCCCAATAATTAACACCACTGTTTTTTCAGAATTTAGCAGTAGAAATCAAAAGATTTCAAAATATCAAAAGATTGATAGAAAAGGATGGCGGTGCGTTCACATGCTGCGGCTTCTCTCTCTCCCGACAGAAAGGTGTTTTCGTGTTTTTTGTCTTGTGAGTCGCAGTGTTTTTGTACGTATTCGTCGCGTCTATCTGTCTCTAAGCGCGCATACAGTCGTGAGTTTCTGCTCGATGTCGGCAGAACCACATTTTTAGAGTTAAACTCTGCGCACGCCGAAGAGCTGCGGGATCTCGGTCTGCTCCGGAGGCCCACAC